AGTGAAAACACTAAACGAACGAAAGACTTAAGCTACGAACTTCGCGCGTCTGCCTGATGCCTGGTTGCTACCTCAGTCACTTGCCGCTGACTAAACTGCTTGTTCGCTTCGTTATTTCGTTTGCTTGCCAAAGCGTTAACCGCAATCTGCTCAAAAGTACGACTGTTCAACACGCCAAACGCTAAGCAACTGTTTGTGTACGCAGGCGTGCTGACGCTTCCGACTGCTTTGAGCTTGGTGGCTTTGTGACTTTGCGGTTTCGGGCGTTTCATCGCGTTGGCCTTTCGGCAATATCAATGCAGATCAATTTCACAGTGAGCTCGGTGAATGTGGGCATGTGAGAGTGTGCTCTGCTTGTGAGTAAGCTAATTCGGGCATCTGCTCTGTTTTGATCGCTCACAATTGGTTTTAAAACACAGTAGTTCGGTTTGGTAAATAAATTGTATTAAGTTGAAAAGATCTAGTACGTCAAATGTAATAAAACCGAAAACGTTTTCCTACCTCGTCGCCTTTTTCACTTTTTATATCCTAATACAAGTTTCCCCTAGCTTTGCTGAGAAAAAGAAAGAAAACTTTCATTCTGGACTCGTCCTAGGCAGTCGTTGTCATTTAATTCGTCGATGTTGTGTTTGAGTCGAATATGAGAAAGAGTTTTTCATAAATCATCGCTGGACATTCGGGTTCACCATTTTTCTCACGTCCAAGAAGAGAAGAGCTGCTTCCATAAAATCAGTATTGTCTGGATGTTGGCCACAAAGTTACCTCCTTAGGACCTGCATTACTATGCTCCGGTCTTCTGTAAGTCTTTTCAAAGATATTTTGAGCAGGAGAGATGCTGACCGATTTCTAAAGTCCTTCATACACAGGCAGTTCCTGCTCTAGCATTTTTATCTACAGAAGATTCTTGATTCTCTCTTTCTCACGTCACGGTATCAATCTCATCACGAACGCACTGTGGTCGATCGCAACGTTGTGATGAAGGAAGTTTGTTTCCTCTCCGCCGAGGCTCGAGATTTTGGATAGAACCAGCTTTTTCTCCGACGTTATCAAAAACCAATTTATTTCTGCTGCGGTGGTACGTAGGAATATTGATATGCCGTCTCACAGTTCTCTTATATCTAATCGCCCTAAAGGGTTCTTTCAGAAATCAAGAGTGCAAATCGAGTATAAAAACGACTGGTTGACTACCGCCTCTAACCGTCTTTTTGTTTGTATTAATCCGAGTCAATGTTTGGACCTTGGAGCGTACACATCAAGAACACAAGGAACATGTATACCTTCTGTGACAACAAGTTCGATTTGGTTGCGCGATTTTTTAGCCAATCTCCGCCATGTAGTCTATAGATTATTTTTTTGTGCTGGAATATGGTGCAACGGTGAAATAGATTTAGGTCAAATATATTTCGGGCCCCTCAGTCCGCTTGGAGATATTTCGTCATGGAGCCAGAATTTCCCGACAGTTGGGTCAAAAACTTATTATTTGTCCACTCTGACGATAAAATCGCCAAGTAGGATTGCGATATTGTGCGGTGATTTAAATAATTTCACTTTGATTCCGATTGGGACGAAACGTCCATCTACGAAAGCAATTCCGGGACTAGACGTCAGAATCTCTTGACCACCACAAAACCGACAGTAAATGTAGTAAATTTCTTTCGCTCTCTCATCCTTGCCCTATCCGTAGAACTTCTCGGACAGCAGCCGGCTTGGCATCGGCACCTTCTTAACTAAGGATTATCGTAAAAACGTTTATAGCTATCTCTCATCTGAAGCTTCTTATTAATTTTTTACTTGGGCAGATCTTACGCAGAATCACAGAGGGCTCGTCTTTTCATTGTAGCTCTCCCCCAACCAGATGTTTATTAGCTAAGAGAAAGATACTTGGTCTAAGGTTGGAAGTTGTGAGCTGGTTGTACCAAATAATCGTTTCTGGCTACTCGGAAGCAAATGACAGTGAAACCCCCTGCCCACTGCACACATCAATTACACAAAAAAACATATTTTCTAGTCAATATTAATTACATTTTCAACTGACGTTTATTTTAAAGCGATAGTAATTTTATATAATTGCCGCTTTGTAGACGATCTAACGATTTTCGGACCTCCTGCTCCATTTTGTGGTGTGTGTCGTGAAGTTTCTCCAACAAATGGATGGACCTACCGTTTATACTAAGCCGCCTCCTCATGTCTGGTGGATTTTTATGGGGAGGTTTTTTACTTCAAGCGCCCTCTGCCTTGCAGCGATCACAACTGGAAAAATTAAAATTCTATAATTTTGAATGTTGGTTGGACTTTTGGAGTCGCATCCTGGCCAACCACTCGACTACTGCGGCCACCAGCTTTCCTTAAATAAATATCTGAATCTGTAGAATGTAAATTCTTTCGCTTGGGTTAAGAAATATATTTTTATTTGTGTGTGAATACAAATCTTTTATCAAACTCATTGCACATTCTTCGAGTTGAGAGGAAAAATGCGAACGAAAATAAATCTATAAAAATTCCACTTGTTTTATTATATCTATTACTGCTGCTGTTGATGATTTAACGGTGTGCTCGCGAAGAAGAAAGTGGTGAAGGTGGAAGTTGAGGTGTGTTAAATGCGTAACTTCAAAGTGGACAATGCGTGAGGTTTTTCAATGCTAACGGTATTCTTTTCGTTATTTATTATTGCACTATTTTGCCTTTTTAAAATTTGTTTTTGTTTATTTTTTATATATTCTTTTTTGCTTTTGCTGAACTCATGAAGTATTGTGGGAATTTGTCGCTTTTTAGGCCAATGCCATTGTTTTCTCGGTGGATGGACATATGTACGTATGTAAATTAACACTTCTGTATTGAGAGACAAAGCAATTATTTATTTACGTTTTAATTTATGCTCGAACTACTGTTCTCATATCTTTAATTTCATATGAATTTCTGTACTTGGGACACTTGTCTATTCATTTAGGAAAACAATAACAATTTTTCCAAGTTATTCTCCGGAAAGGTAAAGAAAAACAACCAACATTTAAAAAATGCCTAATAAAATTTTCAAATATGGACTAACTATTTTCTCTTGGGGCCAGGCCTTCACCAGCCAAATCATGCTCCACTAAAGAGAAACAACTGGTAATCACTTGGTACGAGTTCCGGATTATAAAGCGATTGTATCATAAACTCCTAACTAAGGTCTCGAAGCTTCTGATGAGTCACTTTCGAGGTGTGTGGTCCCGATGAAACACAATTCTCTGTGTTGGTCAAAGACTTCTGGGCGATTGTTTCTTTCACAGGCAGCTCATGGTGTATGATTTCTTACCAAACCCACCACACACCCAATAAAACCTTCCGGCATGCTAAACCTGGCTTGGAGACCGTTTGTGCCGGCTCACTGTTGTTGGACCATGACCTTTTTTTTAACGTTGCTGTAAGTGATCCACTTTGCATAACCTGTCACAATCTGCTTTAGAAATGGCTCGTTTTTGATACGATTCAGCTGCGATTCGTAGACGGAAATTCGGTCCAAGACAATTGTTCTCGTTAACTCACGTCGCACCCGTATATCGAGCTTCGTTGTGTACCAAGCCTTTTTATAGTGTTTTTTGTGCAATGTTTAGCTCCTGAACAATCGAAACAGTACTCGGATGACAGTCAGACTCGACAATTTCCATTATTTTATTTTAATTGTGGAAAAGGTCTGCCCTGTTTTGGAAGAGGTTAATGTGGTGCTGGGACTCATTGCATGTTATACAGCAATATTCCGAACTTAATTTTGGTAGTAGCACTCGGGTCTCGCTTAGCATCTCGATCTTTTGGTCTGCTATACGTGCTAGTTGGGTTCCGAAATACTGCCAATCTCGGGCAGCTTACGAAGGTAGGGACTAATTTTTTTATAAATGGTATACACCGAGCTGTCCAGCGGCTTAGTTCCACAGTGCTCCTTCACTGGAAACATATAGCATAGACAGTGAAAGTAGTAGAAGGTATCCGGTCGCAGTCTCCAGGTTAGTATTTTGATAGGCTTAGAGCTTCATCATTTGTGTTTTGATAGTTCCAGGCATTCAGCTGGGTGAAACGTACTTAGCGACCTGCCGGCCAATTACTTGCAGTCGTATGCCGGGTAAAGCAGTGCAGGCTGTCAATTTGGACTCGCAGTAAATTGGGATTACTTATTGTTGGAATTTTGACGTCACATTCCGATCTAGCCAGTACTTTAATATAGAAATGTTCTCTGGTGGAAACCATGCTGGCAAACCTACAAAGCAATTGGAAGGCCGGTCGTAAAATATGCTGTACCGATCTGTGCACCGGGGACGAACGCGATGCAGATGTAGAAGTTACAGGCTTGTCAGAACACAGCCCTCAGGATCGTGACAAGAAACTTTCTGATATCGCCGGAGCATCAATTGCACAGCGAAGCATTTATTCCTATTGGGATGTTACCGTGCAAATAGGCACCTAATGGAAGTTGAACCTCTACCTAGGCACATTAGACAGGAAGTACTAGACTTAAATAACACAATCCAGCGTACAGACAAACATTGAACGCCATTCACCAGGGGTCAGTCAACACCTTTTAAAACTCCATTCCCATGAATGGCGTACTCGGAGATAAACCACCACCTAACGTAGACAACGAGTTCGAGCTGCCTCGAGAGACCCTCGTGACACTGGTACAGCTAGCTAAGGTCTGGATATTGTAGCAGGTTAAACTCCTACCTATCCAGACTCGGCCCCAACATACCAAACGTATGCCTGGCACGAGGAAGTCTCCGCACGACATTAAACACCTCTTCACATGAAAACATCGAAGCAGCACGTTTCCGGAACCTTCCGTTAGATAGCGGGGTTAAAGTAGCCGCTACTACTACAACAACAACAACAACACAACTCTCACAACAGCCAGCTCCATGGCTCAGACTTTATACGTCCAAGGGATGTTACAATGAGTGACTTCTCCCTCTGCTCGGTACTTTGATGCAGCAAAACATACAAACCTTTTCATAGTAAAGATAAAAACCAAGTTTTTGTGAAAGTGCAATTGGCAGTTAATTTGGCCGTCACCTTAAATAGGTATTTCATTCAATACTTTATTTTTATTTATTTCTTTTTCAAACTTCAAAATCCAATACTTAGAAATTCATTTGTATAAAAATTAATTGATAAACGATAGTCTATTTTGTTACAACAAACTTAAACACGAAACGTTTTACTTCATTACAATATAAATGTATATATTTATATGTGTAGAAAGTAAAGGAATAACAATGCCATTCAAGCAAAACTTATAATCAATCACTTCTAAACTTCAATATGTGTTCGTGTGTATGGTTTGTACTTTTAATGCATTCTATTGTAGAAAAATGTCCTAATCTAAGTCTAAATAAGTTTCTTTCATATGTATGTTTCCATGGAACTACTTCACTGATAAACTTCCCAATTTTATTTTTTAAAATCTTGTCTGCTTTTGATCTTTTCGAGTACACGTTCAATTTCAGGATGAACATTACGCACCTTGGCCAGTGTGTCATGAGCACGATTGATTTGTCCGAAAAGTACACAACTAAATTTAAGGAAAATTTAAAAGGGCATTGATTAGGGTTTCCTTTGTTTATTATACCACAATAACTTACAGCAACGCGGAGCCAGTCAAATTGCCATTCATATCCAAATGTGTTATCCATCTATCGCTGATTGTGGCCAGCAATGGATCATCACTTTGCAAATGTATGCGTCCGATTAGTAGCGCTTCCTTATAGTAGTGTTTTGACATAAGCATTTCAATGGCTTCCACGTGTCGATGCATTGCTATGATATATGTAGCTGCTTGCAGCGCGAAACCCTGTTCCAGCAGTTGATCAGCAAAGGCCTGACAGCATTTCTGCCAAAAACTGTAATCATTAAGAGTTTATGATTTTCTTTTTTTGATATTATGTATATATGTATGTATATAATATAAATACCTGAATGATATGGTTGGTGCGACAGCCACGTGCCATTCGCATAATTGTTTATTCTGTATACAATTCTGTATCTCCTCTCTGATTGTAAAGTTCAATTGTGTCATAAATAAGCTCGATATACCAATGTTTTTAGAACTCCTGTGATTTTTTACTAAAATATGGAAAGAAAAAAATATTATGGAAATTTAAAATACAGTTCATGGAAATAACAATAAGTTTCTATTATACATATGGGTATATGACACAGGGTAGTGTTGTTGTTGTTGACGTATCAATACTCCACACTTCGTTTACAGACCGAACTAGTCGATGTCATCTAGGCCACCTAAACTTAGGCTCAGAAAACGAGCTGCTTTAACGGGTTCTGACCAATCGGGCAGAGCTGTTAAAAGAGTCGATCTAAGAGTACATGGAAAGAGGTGTTTAGTGTTGCAAGAGGACTCGCCCCATGCATACCATGACATATGGATATGAAAATATCAGGGTCGAGTGAGACAAGTATGAGTTTAATCTAATACAATAACCAACGTTAGTTGCACCAGTATAAAAAGTAATATTTGATGCTTCGATTGCAATAACCCCAAACACGAGAAGAATTTTGCACAAGGTGCTGACTTACTTTCATGACATTTAAGAAAAACCTATAACAGGTCTCCCCTAAGGGCTTCTCTTAGGCAACCTTTCGGTAGCTGCCCTGTTGAAGTTACTCTACTTTAGAAAAATCAAGTAGAAAGCACCTGGTTTCAGTTCGGAATTTCCAATCGCTACCCGAACCGCATAGTAAAGAAACCACTGGTGCGCTTTTGCTGAGATGGCTCTAAACGCATAAAGACAGCTAGACACAGACAGATTAGTTAAAAGTTCTATTGGGAGAGTCATTGTAAAGACAATATATATGTGAGGTTTGCCAAAGTCCAAAACTTCACGTGTTCTTTGTTAGAAATAGCGATGCCAGCGTTCCAAAATAGCCAAACGAGAACTAAAGTTTTATTCAAGGTCATACTTGAGTAGCTCAAAGTGAAATGATTCTAAAGTTTGGACGAAAGGCACAGATCTGAGAATATTCGTTCCTTGAATGCGAAGCCAAACTGATTGCACACGGGACATGCATACAGCGGGATCAAAGAAAGTGCTGCTATGTCGGCTATAATATTCAGAGATTGGTCTCATTTCAAGTTCTTGGTCCATAGTCATCGAGATCATTTAACGGGAGATCCAAGAAACGAGCTGTTTCGACGAGACTGAAAAGAGTTTAGAAAAGTATTGAAACTCTTGGTGAATGAGGTTGTTGTTGTTGTTGTTATTGTGGTAACCGAATTTGTTTTCGGGGAATATTGCGGAAGTGACAATCCTTGGCCGGATAAAAAATCGGTTTGTTGCGGTACAAAAACCCATCTGTCGCGGGAACTATTGGACTTTAGTCGCCTCTCGCGACAAGCATACCTTATCTTATCTTTGCCACTGATGGCTAGAATCACCAAATGAGATCACACAAGTTTTCAAATGTCAAAAAAAACCGGTGAGACAAGACCACTCTGCGGCGCTCCCAAAACTTTTGACAGATCCTATGAGGCCAGGACCGAATTTAGTTGAAACCGTTGTTGTATTGCAGTGATCAGGTGTTGTGTAACGGCACGAAGACATCAAGGCTTCAATTGTTTTCGGTACTGGGAGAAGGAAGTGATATCAGCCAATAAGAGTCTTCCTTGTTGAATTAACTTTTCCATAATGCTTTAAAATTCCTAGCAACTTCATACTCACATTCCTCTGCCAACAGCTGTTGTGCGTCTGATTTTGAGCCAAATAATTTGGGGCAAAGTAAGGTTTTACTTCCCGTGTTATTTAATACCATATTCAATTTCTCCAAAACATCTTTGTTCAGTTCTTTAGTAGTTAAATTCAATAAAGTTGTCGGATTCTAGAAAAACAGAAAAAAAAAATCAATATGTATATATTACATTCATATAAATTAATCACTGCAACACAGCTTACCTTCAAAAAGACCGAAATGGCAGTCAGTGTTTTGGCGTCATTAGCCTTAGCTACTTGCTGCTCTGTTGGCACTTGATTTTCTTCCTCCTTCTTCACCCCAACTGTGTCATTATCGCTCAACTTCAATGCACCCAGCTTTTCCACAACTTCGGCGCCATTCTCAGCAATCCCTGCATCGCCATTCGCAGCCTGTATCTCAGTACCACCAATTATGGCTCGCTTGGCGCGACGTTTTTCAGCTGCCGTCAGTGGTTTGGCCTCAATACGTGCAGGAATTTTCGACGCCCACTTCACCTCATCCAAGGGGTGTGAATTGAAATGAGTATATTTTCCTGCCTTATACATCGTTGTCTGCTCCAAGCGCATATCGAACATTTCCAATGAAGTCGACTTGCCAGCGCACATCACAATCTGTTCATCCGTAGGCAGGAAGAGACCACAAGTCATTGGGCAGGGAAATTGTTTAAGAAATTTCTCCTCATTTGTATTTGTAGATTTCAAATCCCAAACACGGACACAACCATCAAAGCCACAAGTAAGAAATTCATTTGCATTATGATTGCTCCATTTGACCCAGGCATTGGCAGCTTTACGAGGTTTCATCGTGATGGTCTGCACGAGCGTGAGTAGACCATCGCCATTGCTCGCCTTTAGTATGTGAATGGTATTAGAATTCGCCACTACGGCGACATGATCGCTAGCAATGGGACTCCAAGCGATTTCGGTGATATAGCGAGTCGCCAACGGTACATCCTGCTTTTTAATGTAGGAATACGGTGAATTGGGACTGCGATGGTACACTTGTACGTGTCCATTTTGGGTGCCAACGTACAATACGCCACCGCGCACCGATACCGACGAAACGTTTTGTGCCTCACGTACGATGTGAGCATCTAAGAGGAGTGTGAAAAGAAATTATTAATTTCATAAAAAAAAATAAAAAAGTGAAAGAAATATGGAAAATTTAAATAAATTGAACTTATTTTTTACGCAGCGTAAATCTGACGTGAACGACTGGTGCGGTGTACGCTAGGAATTTTTCAAGGCAACGCTCTATGAAGAATGGCAAAGCACTCGCCTTACAGAGTAGCGGAAGTAATTCGGGGTAAAAATCCGAGTCAATTTCGTTGCGTAAAACCGGCTGTTATGAGAGTGGATTCTGTTATCGACTAAATTTCTACCTATGCAGACTTGACCCCAATGTATGTCCGGCATGCAATGTGTCGCAGTACCACACTAACCACCTTTTTGCATTTCTCTTAAAACCTACTCACCTAACCTGCCTTCCCTCTATTGTGAACCCTCGAAAGAGATCGTTTCATGAACCTCCCGTTACGACTGATCTTGCCTGCTTCTAAGCGGGATTAGACTTGCCGTTGCAACAACAACAACGACCACAACAATATAAGATAAGTATTTAGGGAGTAAAGGCCCAATTATAAGCAATCATGGGCATTGAAAATCTATCAACTCTTAGACACACTCTTTTTTTAGCTTATGGGCCTCATACTGTAAACGAACGTGTAGCACAAAAGTGGTTTGCTAGGTTCCGTTCCGGTAATTTCGATGTCAAAGAAGCACCACGCGTCGGGAGGCCGTCGAAAATTGCAATAAAATCATAGAAATAATGGAAACAGACAAAAAGAAGCTCCATGTTTGGGTGCCAGACGAATGCACTCACCTTATAGTCCGGACCTGGCACCAAGTGATTACCATCTTTTCCTGTCCATGACGAATGCGCTTAATGGTGAGAATTTGGCCTCAAGGAGAGAAAGATTGAAGAGCCTCTCGCTTTTTACGGTTTTTTTTTTAAACTGTCTCCGAACAGATTTGGATAGATTCGGTGAGAGTGCGGTTTTTTTTTATTTAATTTCAGAAATACACACGGACGGACGGACATTCTTTGCCGAAAAGCTAAAGTATTTGGAATTACTTTTTTTTCAAGTGGGTCCAGCCAGAATACGAACTTCGGAAGGAAATGGAGCTAAAACTCCGGGTACACAATGCATATGCTTGCAGAAAAGAAATTTACGCCAACATCTAAGTCATATGCTTAATGAAGAAATTGATCTAAGTTTGTCAGTTACCAAAGAATTTTAAACAAATTTTAATCATTTCATCCAAAAACAGCTTACCATATGGTTTATATATTTCCAAAGGTTTGAGTCGAACCCCTACGGAATTAATGATAAATTAATAGGCCTTATTAGTTTTATTTCAAACAGAATGTACATATGTATGTATGTATTTAAAAAAAAAACTACAAAAAAAAAACTAAATTTTCAAACTACAAAAATTTTAAATTACAAAAAAAATAAAAAATCAAATTTTCAAACCACAAAAATTTTAAATTACAAAAAAAAAATAAAAAATTTAATTTTCAAACTACAAAAATTTTAAATTACAAAAAAAAAATAAAAAATCAAATTTTTAAACTACAAAAATTTTAAATTACAAAAAAAAATAAAAAATCAAATTTTCAAACTACAAAAATTTTAAATTACAAAAAAAAAATAAAAAATTTAATTTTCAAACTACAAAAAAAAATAAAAAAAAATACAAAAGTTTTAAATTACAAAAAAAAAAAAAATTTTCAAAAATTAAATTTTCAAACTACAAAAGTTTTAGATTACAAAAAAAAATAAAAAATTAAATTTTCAAACTACAAACTTTGATATTGAAAGAAAAATTACATTTTTTGAACTAAGTGATCGAATATTTTCAGTGTAAAGAAGAAGCTATGTCAATAATGAAAAACAATGTCAGCCAAATGGCCGCCACGGCTACGATTACAAAACAGTATCCTTTCTTTCGATAGATCGCTAAAAGGCTGCTGTATTCCCTCAATAACTTCACGAATTCCTTCTTTGAGGTTTTGAGTCGACGCTGATCAGCCTTACCGTCAGGTGTTAAATCACAAGAACTTGGTGGGCAATTGCGATCACCTGCTCGAGAGATAAAAAAGTTAGGAAACTTTTGATCTTAAAAGATCGATGGTTTCGATGCCTTTGTGACATGTAGCGCCGTCTTGTGGAATCTAAACATTGTTAAGATCAATACCCTCCAATTCCGGCCATACAAAATCATTAATCATCTCTCGATAGCGCAATCCATTCACCGTAGTTGCTGCCACAGGTAGCCATCGAGGTAGAAATTAGTCAAAATGCTTTTTCGCTGAAATTCCGTATCATTTTCATTCATTTCAAGGACTCAGTCAGCATAGACACGGCATTGTTGATGATCAGCCGACTTAAGCTCTTGTGCTAACTAAATGATCTTTATAAGCCTTCAGACCCAAGTCTTTAAGCGAAGTAATGACGTTTATGGAAAGCCCAATACCCAAGAACGACGCGGAAGAGACAATCCTGAGTTTACAGTTTCAAAAATGACACCTACCGGACATACGAGCATATTCACAATAACAGCCCTTCTTGGAAAACCTTTTTTAAAGATTTTCAATTACAAAAACAAATATCTCTAACTACATAAATTATTTTGGAAATTTTTGGAAATCAAAACTCTAAAATTTGATGAAATAAATATTATAGCAACCAGGTGTAGTAAGTAAGCAATTATCCGAGAATTATATTCTTATATTGGAATAAAAAATCTTAAAAAAATGTTGTACCAAGGCAAATTCAAACACGGTCGTAGCAAGAATACAAAAACAAAAAGGATATACATTTTCTTCTTTTCTTCGTATAATCGTAGTTTCGAAAAGTGAAAAACGAAAATTTTGTAATGTATTTTGTTTGTGTAATTTGTTGAAATGAAAGGATAAACAAGCAATCATATCATGTAACAACTCCACCTTATATTAATTCACCTTGGTTCAATGTATTTTGTTGGTGTCGCAAAAAAAGGCCGTAATGTCAAAAACTATTTCTCATGTATTTTGTTTGTGTAATTTCAAGGTTTATAGAAAACAAGGTTACGACGGCGGGTAGCCGAAGAATTTAAAATAAATTTTCATAATTTTATCTATAAAACAATAAAATTCCAAGGACTTGCAATTCAAATTACAACTAAAATATTTTGAATAGTTTAATGACGAATAAATGTATAGTATATATATATAGTATGTATACATATATATATATTTTATAGCAAAAATTTCTATAGTGAATATAGGATAGTATTTTTAAAAATTTAATATAGAAATCGATTTACGCATAATTTTTTTATGCGCTAAAAAGCCTTTGGGAAATGGATAATCGCTATTTAGTGTCCTGTTTAAAAAATCGGAGCGAATAAAAAGTGTACAATAAATAGGTTATAGTAGACAAAAATTAAAATAATAATAATATAATGTCATTATAAACTTTTTAAAGCTGAAAATTTTAAGTTTTGGTAAGAAACAGTGAGTTCATCGTATCGTTTAATATATAATGTACATACAGCCATGGTCACGCAAATAGCACAAAGTGTATCATACGAGAAAATGTAACTCTTCTGAGGAACATAACGGTATTTTAAAAAAATGTATAATAGTAACTTATGTTATCTAGTTTACAGTGCGTTTCGTACATTCCCGTTATCCTAGCAATTATATTTTTTTCGTCGATTTATCTGATCGTGCTATTAGTTAGTGGTGGTCACGCAAATAGCACAGTCATCGGTTGGATCTTGAAAGTATGTTTTTGTTTATTTTTAGTGAAATTTAAATACATTTAAAGTTCAGTTCTATCAAAATTTACGCAGATTGAATTCAAATGGGTTGCGGTAAACACTGTTCTCCTTAAAAAAGAATCATTATTCATAACATGGCTAAGACAGGAAAAAGTGTTTCAGAAATTGAAGTTTTCTCGAATTATGCCCATAAAATAGTACATAAAGTCTTTAAACTGGTTCAAGAGAGTGAAGATTATCTATCTCAAAACAAATCCAAGGCACCTGCTACGCGCAAGACAGCGATTTTTGAAGACAGAGCCAAAATACGAAAAGAGAAGCTAGAGCATTTTAAATTTTCTTGGCAAAAAATGCTGAAAATAAACGAAGAATTCGATTTGACTATATGAAGAAGTCATGTTGGAAGGCGTTTAAATAAGACCCAGCTCTTTGGACGCAATACCCGCAAAAAAACACTCCTGTCAAAACGGCATATAGAAAAAGGTTAAAGTTTGCCAAGACGCCTGAGAACCGGGCGATAAGATTTTGGAAAAATATGTTATGGACCGATGAAATTAAAATAAATAGAATAGAACCGGATGGGAAAACCACATTTCATCGCCAAAGAGGTCAAGATTTGAGTCCTAGGTACAATAAAAAGACCATAAAACATTTGGGGGGCGTTTTCCTGGCATGACGTGGGACCAATTGTGCGAATAAATGGAAAAATGGACAAATATCAATATCTGGACATCTTAAAGAATGAAATGGAGCCATTCGTATGTGACTCCATGCCACCAAATTGGAATTTTATGCAGGATAATGATCCTAAGCATACCGCGAAAGTCATATAAGATTGGCTTAAGAAGGAATATATTCGTGTTTTGGATTAGCCTGCCCAAAGCCCAGACCTAAAAACAATAGAAAATTTATGGAACGAAGTTAAAACAAAAATATCTGCAAAAAATTCGATGATTTGTGGGAGGGCGTCAAGGAAGAGTCGTACTCCATACCAAAAGAAAAATATGAGAAACTTATTGAGAGCATGGGACGCAGATGTGAAGCTATTATTAAAAATCGTGGATATACTACAAAATACTAATAGATAAGACCTACTTTGGACTAATAATGGTATATGATCTGGCATATTTGAACTTAAAATTACAAGTTTTGCAAAATGTGCTATTTGCGTGACCAGATAATTTCATTAGGAACCTCAAACTTTCAATTATTTTAAACTTTCATTGAATTATTATTAAGTTTTTTTTATAATGGTTGTGTTAAATAATAACTGCGTGAACACATCGTTACAATATTTTCATATTTTAAGCACATATATCCCTTTGTTTCATTATTATCTATTGGAAGGAAAGTTGTGCTATTTGCATGACCGTGGCTGTAAGAGTATATGCTAGAAAGTGGTATTGCTTGCATATATATTGATAATGTAAAAGGTTCGATCGGTTTTTTATTGACTTTTCAAAATATGATAGCTTTGTGTACATTTATCCAATTTAAGTCAATTATGTGTCGTTTTGTTCGTAACACCCCTTTCGTAGAAAGCTGCGTCCCTATTGGCAAAAAATTCGGAGAGCCAATTTTCACAGGCCTCTCTTGAGGCCAACTTCTCACCATTAAGCGCGTTAGCCATGTACAGGAAAACGTGGTAATCACTTGGTGCCAGGTCTGGACTATAAGGTGAGTGAATTAGGACCTCCCATACGAGCTTCTGGAGATTCTGGCGCGTCACCAAAGACGTGTGTGGCCTGGCGTTGTCCTGATGAAACGAAATTCGGACTCTGTTGATCAAAGATGGCCTCTTATGGATGAGTGCTGCCTTCGAGCGGTCCATTTGTTGGCAGTAGAGGGCCGAATTGATATAATGTGGCCATAGGGGAGCAGCTCGTAGTGGGTGATTCCTTACCAATCCCATCAAACACACAGCTTTGGCCACGACCGTTTGCGCTCGATGTTGTCCTAAGTGACCCATTTTTTATCGCCAGGCACAATCCGCTTCAGCAACGGGTCGATTTTGTTGCGAATCAGCAGCGATTCGCAAATGGAAAAACGGTCCATCATGTTTTTTTGCGTTAGTTCGTGTGGCACCCAAACATCGCGCTTCTTTTTGAATCCAAGGTTATGCAAATGATTCCACACGGTTTTCTGGCTAATCTTTAGTTCATCAGCAATTAAATAAGTGCTCACGTGACGGTCTGTCTCCACTATTTCCATGATTTTATCGCAATTTTCGACGACAGGCCTCCCGCCGCGTCAGCCGCTTTAGCTGCTTTTTCGCCTTGATCGAAGAAAAATTGTAAATATAGCAATTTTTCTCGTTGTTGGTGTCCATCTTAGAAGAGCGCTCACAACGTACTGAGTCTATCAATCGAAAAACTCTCATTTTGCGGGAATAAACACGTTTTCAGCCCCGTATAGTATGACATGATGCGACACGCAGCACTTGTACTAACGCCATCTCTTAAATAAAAACCGAACGAAGTTTTCACTACGCCAATATTAATACAAAATATATTAAAAATTAATTTTTACGTATTAACGCCACCGCAGCAGGTATTTTGTGTAAAGATCTTATTTGTTGTTCGCTAATTTTTGTGTATTTTTTGTTTAGTCAGAAAAACTGTCAAATCTATGACTGCGGTGGTGAGTACCAAAAAAAGATCTATTAATTTGTTTTTTTTTCGTCTGTACAAGAAAATGTTCCCTACATCTATGTTATTATGTTCACATACATATGCATTTTGGTAAAGAAAATTAATATTTTTTCTGACGGGAGTATCAAGTCTCGCCCAGTGTATATATGACGCAGTTGATTCGGTGACGTCAACGTTTGTTGTAACCTTGTATTCTATAAACCTTGTAGTTACTTCACTTGGTTATTATTTCATCATGGTGATGACTGGCACGACATATATAATCTCAAAAAAATAAAAAAAAAAATAAAAAAAAATAAAAAAAATGTTCTAAATCTGAATGTCAAATGGAAATTCATTTTGGTTTTCTGTCGAGCAAAAATTTATGATTAAAAAATATTTTTTTGTTTATGTCCTGTTTTTCAACAACCTTCGCTGCCGGTCGTCAAGAGTAACGGTTTAACACAGATGCTCACAGTTGCTATACGCTTAATCGATATTCCAGCATTTTTCCAAAATCGTTTAAAATTTCCAAAATTAATTTATTTTATTTTAAATTAAAACAACAAAATGTCAACAAAAGATGATTGCAACAGACTTACAGGACAATTCCTAAACGATTGCAAGGACAATAATTTGGATGTGGACCAAAATTTTGCATATTTCTTCATACATCTCCTAACACGCGATGCACGTCTCGGCCTACAAAAGCAAGAATCGAATATTTGCAGTTTAATGCAAATCCGAAAAAATGCACTTGAATTGTATACGAACAAAACCGATCCAACAATGTCTAATTTGCTAATGATGTATCGTTTTAAGAATTTTCGCGAATTAAATATTAATTACATGAAACAAATCTACGAGGCGAACTTTCAAAAGAAGTTGCATAACCTCATAGGGGGCATACTGCAATATCCGGAGACGAGCACTGACAAGCAGCTGGATGAAATGCTCTATAAAATACAAGTCTTTATCATCGCCTGCTATAATATTGGTGATCCGAAGAATCATGTGGTAAGTGCAGTCTGGCATGAAAGTATTGCTTTGTAGCCATTACCGTCACATAAACTTAACGTTTTACTGCCGCCTCTTGCAGCTGTTGAAGCAAACTCGACAGAGTCTTAAAAGCGTACTCAGCCGCGGTGATTTGCGTGACTTTGTATTGAAGAAACGTTATCATCGCCTGGAATACCTGCAGCGTTTGACAACTACTGTATGCGGCATACTCATCTATAACAACTGCGATCCGAATGGCGAACGGGAAAATATGCGAGATAGTAAGTAGAAATTCAGAAACAGTTATCAGCAGTCTGGTAGGAATTGGGTTTCTTCATTACTCTCACACTCGTGGTTGGTTCATAGCTAAGTTTTCTTCTTACCACCTCTCATGAATGAATAACCAACAGACTGAACCGCCATCATTTGATGCTCGCATTTTGCTTCTCTCCTACTCTCAGAGGTTAACTTTAGTTGATGAGGATCAGTTGTTGGCGTTGTTGTTGAAGCAGCTTTTAACCTCACTTGGAAGCATGCGAAACCAGTCTAAGTCTTCGAGATAACGGAAGGTCCAAGAAACTAGCTTGGTTTAAAAGTCATGCCAATAAATAGGTGGTTAGTGTCGGGCGTTGTCTTCTTGAATGCAGGACATACGTTGGAGTGAAGTCTGGATAAGTCGGTATTAAATCGACCACAATACCTAGATATTAGCTATGCCAATATTACTCGGGTTTCCCCAAGCAGCTCGAGCTCTTCGTGTGCACTGGATTTGTTATTGGATTCCGAGTACAGCATTTACTGTAAGAGGGTTCAAGAAGAAGACTCTCGGTGAAAGGCGCTTAAAGTCTGTTAGTGCGCCGCTATGCTCGCCCATCGATTCTTATATATGATGCTGAATGTAGTTTTTTGTAGTCGTGTACTCCCTTCCTGATGTGCCTAGATGGTGGCTTAGCCCAGGATAAACAGTCTTCTCTTGCTTAGCTGCTAAAATAAACAAAAGACAGCGCACCACCATTTTGCCGGGAGGCAGTTCAGATTAAAATTTTCAAGTCTCATATTTCCTACAGCGATTAAAAGAAACCGCATACTTTTTTTTTACTTTTTAGCAGCTTCTTACCGCACAAATCTCGCTCTGGGCAGTCCGATAAGACTTCTAAACTCTCAGTCTTTTCTTTTTCTATATATAAAGAAAATGTACGGTCTGATTCTTGGAAATGTAAATGTCTTGGATCTACCGTTACATTGACGAGAGTTTTGCACTACCAGCTAGCAACAGTCTTATTATTAAAGGCATTGTCTTTAATTAACAAGAAGCACTGTGTGCCGAGCTCTCCGTTCACAGTTAATAAGTGTAAAGATCAACTGCTAGATAATGTATCTACCATATGCTTAGTATAACTTTTCATTTAAGTCCAGAGGATACAATTACGAATCACAAATACAAATCCCTTTGCAATTTCAAATCCTTTCACTTTCACAAACACAGTCTTAACGGATATACAAATGGCGAAAACAAATACGAGAGAATCACTAGAAGCCGCACTGGAAGATATTTCACGGTATATAACAACTGGCATAGAAGCTATGGGCAGACTAATACGTGTGGACACGAAAGACAAAAAAGTGCACTGCAAATGGCCAATAGAGAAAGTGCGTGAAATCAATAAATATGTCATCTTATTCAGTTCTTATGATACGCTGGTGAAAAAAATTGTCGAATCATTTGAGAAAACTGAATATCTCGTCAGTTTGGATCAAAAGAAAATGGATTGTATTATAGAGAAAATTAATGATATATTAAAATATCGCACAGCAATCGAATCGCAGTTGGTATTTGTGAGTATTCATTATAAGGAAAATTGAAATTATTAAATTTTATTTCCATTTTTTTTTCGATTCTTGCGCAGCCACATTTTAAATATCTCTCCGAACTTTGGACCTCATTACTGCTAACACTTAGTCATTTGGCTGAACTGAATAGATTAAAAGACATGTTAGATGCATGTTTAACGAATGAAGTGAAAGCGAATTTCCGTAAGCTTCTAAAAATAACCGAAGTTCGACGTAAAGTTATACAAAAAGAAATTTTACCCACATTTGATGAATTAATCGAACGCACTAATAAAATACATCCTGTAATGACGTCATTGCAAAACGTTGTACGTATATAATTATAATATTTGCAGTAACTTTAGAAAACACACAATTCTCTTTGTATATACTATTCTTTACAGGAGGGCAACTTTCAAAATTATTGCGCATTAACAATCGCACTAACGAATGGCCTACTGTTGCCCGCTACTCTCCAGAAGAAACTTTGTGAAGATACGAAATTTCTTTTCGGGTTTGCAAACATGGATTTTGCAAAATATGCCGAACATCATTTTGATGAATTTATACATACACTAAAAACGACAATTTATACTTCGGTAGATCTTATACTGCTCTTCGGTGTAGCTGATGCAATATTGCACGAAGATATTGTAACCGAGCAAAAGAGACGTAAGGGTAAATTGTTGGAAAGTGGCACACAAACGGAGATGGTAGTTGTGAACGTTTTAACACCATCGAATCGGATTAATGTCACTTGGAATAAATGGGATTTTCATCGTGAGACTCTGCATTTGGCCTATATAAGAAAGCTACAGACGCGCTCACAACAGACTGCACTGTCATTCGGTACAATGAATGCACAAAACGAAAGTTTGCCATTCGGACATGGAACAAATTAATTATAATAAATTTTTGAATCAATGTTGCATATTTATGTAATGTGAATGTACTTACCTTTTAAATCCGCATTTGTATCGTAAATGGCTAGCATGTCATTGCAAACAACAAATAAATGATTGTACTGCCAGTCAATTGAATAAATTGGCTTGCCACAGAAGGGATTGAAAACGTCAATTGGTTTGCCTGAATCCACATTAACGACGCCAACCTTTCAGGAGGATTAAGAAAACAGTTAAGAAATTTGCAATAAATTACAATTTAAAAAATATTAATAAATATAAATTATTGGCGCAAATATAAATAAGATACACAAGAACAACAAAAAAAACCTACTACTGAAAAAAAAAGATTTTACAAACTTTTAAAAAATTAAAACAAAATAAAAAAAAGAAAGTGAAGAATTAAATAAAAAAAAACTAGAAAAATATCTAGAATAACTATAAAAGCTAAAAATGAAACATAATTAATTAAAGCAGAATATAAAATATAATATATTATAAAAAATTTAATATAAAAAATATTATACAACAAAAGAAAATAAAATTAAATTAAACTAAATTACGTTAAATATCACAGAATTAAACAAAGTAAAAAGTGCACAATAAATAAAATGAAATATAATAAAATAAAATAAATTAAGCTGAATAAATAAGTTAAATAAATAAATATATAATCTAAGGTAACACAAAAAAGTCAATTAAATTATGCAATAAAATATATAAAAAAAAAATAAAATAAAGTATTGAAATAAATGAAAATTAAATGCACGAAATAAAATAAAAAACTAAACAAATGAAATCATACAAAAAGAAATAAAATACATTAAAATAAAACGTTATCCAAAAGTAAAATAAAATAAAATAAAATAAACTAATATTGAATAAAATAAAATAAAATGTAATAAAATAAAATAAGATAATATTGGGTGTATGCAGTAATTCGTGCAGTTTTTTAAAAGAGGACAGCCAAAAATATTTCAACACGAAGAATTGGAGACATTGCTCGACACAGATACATGCCAGACGCAAAAAGAGCTTGCAAAAATATTAGGAGTTGATCAAGCAACCGTTTCCAAAAGATTAAAATAATTGTTTCACAATAAAATAAAATTAATAAAATAAAATAAAGGATAAGAAATATTAAATTGAATTGAAATTAAATGAAATTAATTAAAATAAAATAAAGTGAAAATATAAAGTGAAATAAAAATAAATAAATTATAGAAAATATGATAAAACAGATTAAATCAATAAAAAATATATGATAAGAAAAACTAAGCAAAATAATATACAATAAAATAAAGCAAAATAAATAAACAAAATAAAATAGAATAATAAAAATAACCAAAACAAATGAAGTAAAATAATATAATATTAAAAGATAATTAAATAAATTAAAAAATAAAATATAAAAACAAAATAATATACAATAAAATAAAAGAAAAAAAAAACAAATAACTAAAATAAGATAAAAAACAATAACAAAATACAATAAACTAAAATAGAATGCAATAAAATAAAATAAATCACAAAATACAAAATAAAATGAATTAAAATAAAATACGTTAATAAAATAAATTTAAGTACATATGTAAGTGACAACAATTGTAGTTTTCAGTAGATTACGACAAATATTACTTACTCTACCCTCTAATGTACCAAATGCCAGTCTCTTACTATCCGGGCTCCAAACAAGAGAGAGTACAGATGCCTCGACACGGTGCACATAATTTTGAATAGACACATTGGTTGCAGACATTTTTGAGATGTCAATGATGCCGACACGACGATCAGAAAAACCAAGAGCAATCCTTAAAACATATAAGTACACTCATACTAATTAAAATCCTTTACAAAGAATTATTAAACTTAATTAATAATTATTATTGTAATTACTTATTCATATCATCCGGACACTCACGCATCGCAGAAACATTTGTAGAAGAACAACAGTATTTGAGTATTAATTTTTCAGAAAATAAATTTTCGCAACAAATTTCACGTAATGATGACAAGCACCACAATAATTTGTGTTTTTGCGAAATGGAAAAGGACATAACGCTACGTTGTTGGAATTTCTTTTGCACATCTTCTTTAAACTTATAACGTTGGTGTTGTGGTTTTGTTGGATCCGACAAGTTATCTTCTATCATTGACCAAAGCGATAGATCACCATTTTTATTTGTGGAAATAAATTGTGTTGAGCTTAGCCAATCAACGTGTAAGTTTAAATCTAAAATAGATTAAATTATATAATTATTTATCTATAAATAAATAATATTTGTATCAAATATTTACTTTTGGGAAGTTTCTTATCCTTTGGCCGCAAACGATCACAGTGATTTTTCCCTACATCTTTTGGTCGAACCCTATCACAGCTTGCGCCAGTATTCGTATTCCAAATCCAAAAATATGCATCAAGACTGGCGGATACCAAAAAAATTGGATTGTCCGTTCCATTTTTCGAAATTGGTGAATTATTTTGAGTAGCCACACCGTCAACGGAAGGTTGTTCTGATGAACTCTCAGAATTAACTGTTTGTTTTTCGTCATTTTCTATAGTACCATCAGTACCGACTTTTACTGTGTTTATTGGCATATCGGTATGTTCTATATCTTTGTTTTCTAGTTCATTAAACTGCTCTGCATGAACTTCAGCCTGATGCAATATTTGTTGTTTTAGTTTTATTTCGCTGCCGTCAACGCAAATCTCATCATCAGAAGAGCATCTATCAGCAATGACCAAACTACCTTCCGAAGACTCCCGACTATCCCCACAACTTGAAGAATAATCAATTGTACCCGCAGCATTTTGACAATCAGCGAGGGTAACATCAGTCATTTCATTGCAACCGTCTCTTTCGCTCTCCTCCTCATTTTTCAAAGCGACAATTTCTTCTTTGAGACTTTGGCATGCCTCAGCAAAGTCAAAATTTGTTGTCGGTCCACGTTCCAGAGATTTATCGATAACACATTCCTCAACCGATTTGTTAACTTCCGATTCTGCCGTGGTTGGTGCGCCAAACTCATTTTCCAAATAATCGTAATCATAAATGTCGAATATATCATCATTTGAGGGGGGAATCGCAGACTTTTTGCTATTACTTTGTGCTTTTGAGTTGGTTTGCGGTTCAAGGCCTGATTGCTTTTGCCCTTTGCTCATGATCTGAGGTGCTGTACGATTTTGCTCACCAGTTTCCTTAGCAACATCAATTGGCCGATTTAATGGATCAGCTTCTTGGGGGCACCAAGACAATGACGTTATCGGACTCTCATGTCCACGCAACATATACAATGTACTCATGCTTTGTAAATCCCCAATTACAACCAAGCCACGATTTGTACCTACTGCAAAAATATGTTCGTTGTATGGTGAGCAACGTAACACCGTTAACGCCTGATTTCTTGTTGAAATGAACATCTGTCGTCGGCAATAGGTATTTGACGCCACACAATACACCAATATATCATGGGAGTTTATTGAAAGCACATTACGGTTTCGCATGTAACTCAAAAGCACATGATCACCCTGAGGAGATGGTCCATTACCATCCATGTATAAAGCTGAGCTATAATGTGCCTTATGACCACTCACTGCACAACCACGGTCAAAATCCCATATCTGTACGGAATTGTCCTGTGCCAATGCAGCAAAGTATTTTCGATTCCCAAAGCCTATGGGCGTGTTTGAACTTCCAGCTTTATTTTCAGGATTTACATTTTCTTCGACAGTATCCTGCAGAGGCCATCCTGGATCCACGTCTATACTAGCTATATTTTGCCGGGTATGAAACACTTTAATAACTGGAGGATTCGCATTAATATTGTCGCAACTTTGTTGTAACGGTCCGACATAGTTGATACTGCGGCAGCCTACATAAAGGAAACCACCATCTGGCGTACACACACAACCTGTTTTGAAAAATCAATAAGAAAATATATGATTCAGGAGTTTTCATTTAATTTATTATATTTACCGTTACTTAAATGCCATTGAGGAGCAATGGGTATTTTTGTTAAAACCATTTTTCTTATTTGCACGTGTTTTACCCGAATATATTTGCACAACTTCTTTGTTCTTACCGCTTTTTTGTAAACACAACTTCACTGGCGTCCTTCCTTCCCTGTTTGAAATTTTCCTTTTTAATAGTGATGGACCTATTAAATCCACTGGCGCAGTAAAATGTAGTCGCAAGCTATCGGGTAACCGGTAAATACTGGATGTGAAAAAAAGAGATGCCAAGTCTTTCCAAGTTAGACTACGAAATCTCAAACTCTGGTAAATATTTTCTATTCTCCATTTAAACGTGTAGTAAAATTTATAGAAACTTATTTCCAATAACATTTGTAATATAAAAAATTGGAATAAGTATCATAGACCACAAAATTCTACAGCGTAATTTATAGCATAATTCTATGTAATAAAGTATATATTATTAACCAATATCATAATACTAATAAAAATTTATGTAATTTCCTTAATTTAACATGTAACGAATTTGTTTAAAAAATCTATGCTGCCGCGACTTTTTGAAATTATCCGATTTATTTCATAAGAAGATCTCCTTATCGATAAACAGCTGTTTGCAATTGTTTTATGAAGAATGAAAACATATTAGAAAACAGCTGATCTTAGTTGGATGGAGACGTGACAAGTTCGCAAAACTTCGCTATTTAACAAAAGAGTTGGACTAAACCCAAAATACTCAAAATGCTCCTGCAGAGAGCATTATGTCGCAGCTGGACAAGACAAATTGCGTAAGTATTTTAAGTGTCCTTTCATAATTAACATTAATAAAAAAAATTTCAGGGAACCACTCCCCAGCTACGGGAGCAAATTACTGCGAGCGCATACATTAACACTAAGATCCCTACGTAGCAGTCCCCGTCATCAGCGTCCACCTAGAAGTGGAAGCATTCAAACATCGCCGCCTTTCGAAAATTATACCTTTGGAGGTTCAGTACCACCTAGTAATGTTTTGAAGGCCTTTATTTTCACAGGCGCGGTATTTAACCAAAAAATTATTAAAATTTTAATTGAATAAGAAAATCTCTTTCACAGTTTAGCGCTGGATGTTTTATGAGCGCCACTATACTGGAATATGAAAATACACGTAATATGATGATAGAAAAAGCACGACAAAGTAAATTCCCTTGGCTACGTAGCCAACGCGTTAGCCAAGAACAAAATGTTTGGGAACAATTGAAACAAGAGTTGAAATTACATTGGGATAAACTAACGCCTGGCGAACGAATATTCGTACCACTTTGTGCATTGAATGTATTAGTCTTTGGACTTTGGCGAGTGCCATCCTTGCGTAACACCATGATGACCTACTTTTGTTCGAATCCTGCAGGGCGTAAGTTGTTTGATTATTATCCCACTATCCCATTTTGTTTCACGCACGTTGTTACAGTTGTTCATTATTTAAACTTACAGGTGCTGTTTGTTGGCCAATGTTCCTGTCCACTTTTAGTCATTATTCCCTTTTTCATTTATTTGCGAATATGTATGTTCTACATAGCTTTTCCAATGCGGGTGTGTTGTCCTTGGGAAAAGAGCAATTTTTGGGTGTTTACTTGAGCGCAGGTGTGATTGCTAGCCTTTCAAGCATTCTGTATAAAACTGTCACTGCACAACCTGGGCTTTCAATAGGCGCGGTAAGATTTTTGTTTCTAAACTAGCGATATAATTCTTAGTTTACAATTTTTATCTTAATTTACAGTCCGGTGCGATCATGGCAATTCTGGCGTACGTTTGCGCAAAATATCCAGATACGCAACTAAGCATATTATTCCTTCCTATGCTGAATTTTTCGGCGGGTTCTGTAAGTTTGAGAATTCGCGTACATACATATGCATATAACTTGTATACTTACTTTTGTTTTAATAGGCAATTAAAGTTATAATGGGTTTCGATTTGGCTGGTTGCATAATGGGCTGGAAACTCTTTGATCATGCTGCTCATTTAGGTGGTGCTCTCTTTGGACTGTAAGTCAAAAATTTGAACTAGTGATGCTATTTAATTAACCATGTACATATTTTCAGCTTTTGGGTTTATTTCGGTACTGAATTATGGCAAAAGCGTATACCATTTTTAACGATGTATCATGATTTACGAAAAACTAAATAGCAGAGCTTTTGAATCGTTTAATTAAAATTAAAATTGAGGAGTAGATAAAGATTATAAAGACGTGGTCAATAATTTTAAATATGTAGTTGATTAAATTATCGTTAATAACTAGTGAAACAAAACCACATATTTTTATGCATTCTTATGTATTTAACTTGCCTAAGTTTTCATGCAAAAAAAAAAAATTAAAAAGCAAATCAAACATCGTTTTTCTTTTATGTTATAATTGTAAAATCTTTAGGACTCTTTAATCCTCTTTTCAGATGGTTCAATATTTTGTGTAAAAGAAGCTAATGTTAATACCGCTTTTTTGTTAACATTTCGTCTATGGTTAGTTTCAGCTTTTCTTTGTGATAATTTTTGGCGTAACTCATTTATACTTTCATATTCTGGTGCATATGAGATATGAAGTATGCCGCCATAAAACTCTTGTGCGTCCAAATAGAGCTTAGCAAGTCGAGCTGCTTGGACTTTTGTAAATTTTACATGATACACATCAGTGAAGGCTTCCAATTCCACTGTAAGTATAAATATAAATTACTAATGCAATTTTTTTAAATGATTTCCAACAACCTTTTAAAGCCATTTCCTCTGTTACGGCTTGGATAAATTCAACCTCTCCACACCGTTTGAGCTTACATTTTATTTCTTGTTTTAAATTAATCTTTGGCACACCGAATACTAGTAGATGATTGGATTCATTTGCCACGGTATATACCTGTTTTCATGGAAAATGTAAATATACACATTCTTGCATTCTATTCTGAAATATACATACCTTAACTGCCCGTAGTCGACGACCCCTTCGGTACGCCAAACGATTTAGGCAGTACTTTTGCCGTGCATGGTGGGTGAAGCCTCTAGTGTCATCCATAACACAATAACTTGAGATTCTATCTATAGTGTTTACATTTCCTACCCAATGATTCATGTATGAATAAAGATACCCATTTGTTTACATCCTTTAATTAGAAATGTGCAAATAAGAAAGTTTTATTTTCCAAAATTATCGATAAATCATATGTCAAAAAGTGATGCTTACCAGGCCAAAGAAGATTACAGAAAATCAAATAAATTTACGAAGATATATATCGCTTAAGCCCCTCCAGTAGTTGAAAAATAAAAATGAAATCATAAAAATGTGACACGAGTCTAATCAAAAACGAAGTGTTTTTTGACTAAAATCGCAAACCAAAATTTTAAATATGTGTTGGTCCGAATACTTTGCACAATATCTGTGGGTGTGAGTTTTAGTGTAGAGTTTTTGACATTTCTCAGTTCTTTTCGAATGAAAATTCGCATTTTTAATTCACCATCTCCCTCACACATTCGTAAACAAGTACAGTAAACAACAACAAAAAGGTTCCCGCCAGAATTTGAGCATATGCTCGCGCACGATTGCATTCCTTGTGGATTCTCTATAAGAGGAAGTGACCAAAGAATTGAAGTTCAATTGGTTTTCTGACGTTGAAGTTATTGTTTGTAATAAAAAAATTTGTTTGCGAGATTGTGTTTTACATTTACATTTTGGTTTCAAGGAAAATTTACTAGACTATTCAAAAATATAAAATGGCTTTTGTTGGCAAAGAAAATATCGCAGAAAATATGGAGAAATTTTCGCTGAAAGTAAGAGAAATTTGAGCTGTTATGACAATACAAAATTGTCATATATGTACTAATACAATGAGTGTAATGGAAAAGTACGATTACATATTTAATAAATTGTGTTTCCGTAGAGTCCGAGAAAAATTCTGACAGACGCAAATAACTTGCGCAAGATGTCCATTGGCAACGAGGATGTATCAGCGAAAAATCAGGATACAACCGAAGAACAAGTTACAAAGCTTGCCAGCAAACCTGCCACACCATTTGATCCGTCAATTGAGCCATTGCTGAAAGAGAACCCACGTCGTTTTGTTATTATGCCAATTGAATATCCCGATATATGGCAAATGTACAAAAAGGTAAGGGAAAATTGTATACATTTCTTTGTTATATACGTTAGGAATTACATAAAACGTACCAAAATCCACTCCAATATCAGCTGTTTCAGCAACTTAATTTAGTACATACAAATGTATAGCGATTGTATGTGGCGAATTTGCCAACCGGCTATTTGCAATTTTTGGCGTATGTGAGGTACACATGCAGGCATATATAAATATAATTTTTTTTCACAAATGATAGCGACGTCGGCAAATTGAGCAAGTTTCAACATGTTTTTTTTTTGCCCGGTGTGTCATTGCTTTCCCTGGCATCGACTTTTGCTAGCGTCCATCTATATTTACTAACATACTTACATATTTGTATATAATGTATTTATGCATATATGTATGCAAAGGGGTGTACGCACGCACTCTGATACAGCAAACATTACTAAATATTGGCGCGCAACAGTGCATACATATTTGGCGCAAAATAGTTCCCGCGCGCGCTCTTTTAATTATCTTTGGCGTTTTTTTCCCAAAATTGTTTAATCTTTTTTTTTTCTAATTCACACTTGCGTGCATGGTGTATATGTATGTACATATGTGCACCCAGTATATGCACATGTGTATGTACATTTGGATGTATCAGATTTCGACTGATGGAAAATGTCTATGTTCATCTCTAATTATTTTGTTATTTTTTTTTTTTTAAATAAATCCTCTTATGCACTTTTATTTGTAAAACTCGGCAAATGTTGCTATCTAATTTGTCACATTTGTTTATCTTAATAATAATACACATATAGTATGTACATACATTTTTAATTCTGAATGTTTATAAGTACTTGTTAGTCATGCTATGAACATGACCGTTCATGCACAAATTGTGAAATATGACGGCAGCTGTACCAAGAAAATTGGTTTATTTTAAGACCACAATATGTGGAGATAGGCTCGTATATGTATGTACATGTATCATTAAAAAATCATAAGTATGTACATACATACATACATATACATATTTATATTTACTTATGAATCTATATACTGACTTAAAATGATAGTCATTAACCTCTTATACATTCGTATATACATTTGTATGGACATACTTATATACATATGTATATGCATATGCATGATGGTATATATGTATATATTTTTACATATAAGCTGTTTTGTAATATTAAAATTTTTATATTCTTTATCGTTATTGTACTTATAAATTGATTATATGACAAATTTAATGAAACAAATTACATGTAATATCTCGTACATAAATATCTCATACTAACATACATAAGCACATGTGTACGTGAATTTTCTAAAGTAAGTTATCTTTGACTTGCAGGCAGAAGCGTCTTTTTGGACCGTGGAAGAGGTAGATTTATCCAAGGATTTAGATGATTGGGCACGACTTACTGACAACGAAAGACATTTTGTTTCGCACGTATTAGCCTTTTTTGCCGCCTCGGATGGTATTGTAAATGAAAATTTGGTAGAACGTTTCAGTCAAGAAGTTCAAGTAACGGAGGCGCGGTGTTTCTACGGTTTTCAAATCGCTATGGAAAATGTGCACTCAGAAATGTATAGCATATTAATTGACACATATATTAAGGACGGCAAACAAAGAGACTATTTGTTCAATGCAATTGAGACGATGCCTGCTGTTAAGCGTAAGGCTGATTGGGCGCTGGCTTGGATTTCTTCAAAGTCTGCAAACTTTGGTGAACGTATAATTGCATTTGCCGCTGTTGAAGGCATATTCTTTAGCGGCAGTTTTGCATCAATCTTTTGGCTTAAGAAACGTGGTTTAATGCCGGGCTTAACATTCTCCAATGAGTTGATCTCACGTGACGAGGGTTTACATTGTGATTTCGCGTGTTTGATGTTCCAACATTTGATACAGAAACCCAGCAGGGAACGTATTATTGAAATCATATCTGAAGCAGTTAAAATTGAACAAGAATTCTTAACAGACGCATTACCTGTAAACCTAATTGGTATGAATTGTAGTCTCATGTCGGATTATATTGAATTCGTAGCCGATCGTTTGCTGGTCGAACTGTCTGTTGGCAAGGTAGGTTGAGAACTTTTAAATAACTTAATTATTCAACGGCAAATTTAACTTAATTATTCATACAAATTTCTCCTCTATAAATATTTATAACAGATCTACAATACACCGAACCCCTTCAGTTTTATGGAACTTATCTCATTAGATGGCAAAACGAATTTCTTTGAAAAGAAAGTTGGTGAATACCAGAAATGGGGCGTTACTGCGAATAGAATGGATCATGTTTTCACGTTAGATGCTGATTTCTAAAATATGACTTGTACCTACCAATTGTAGATAGATAGTTTTAGATATATAAATGTTTATAATAAGGGTCTAGTTTATATTAAAAGGCAAATGCATACTTACCTGACACATGCACTACTTCTACTATTTCCTAGTTCTATTTTTATATTGTATGCAATTATTAATCACTAATACCTTCATATTTCGGCTCACAAAAATACAATAATAATAATAAAAAGCCTAGATTAAATTATAAGTAAATAGTATTTATATGAGTGCATTAAAAATTAAACTATATTTTGTGCCTAATTTGGTATTCAATCTAAGAATGGAAATTGAAATGATTTATTTTATGCATTAGAATTACGGTGGTTATAAATGTTATTTGCTTTGGTTGAAAGCGTACAGATTTACATGAGTATTGACTGGTTTAATTGTGGAAGATCTGTCGTCTGGGCGGTTAATCAGAGTACTTAAAATTATGAGAAGGTCCAAATGGCTTACTAAATCAAAGAGCTTATAATTACTAGCTTATTGCTATTAGTTCTCTACTAAATTTTGCTCGATTATTTTTCGTATAGACTTGTAAAATGCGAGAAAAGAATTCAACACTTGAAGGTTTGGCATAGCGAATGCGTGTTGGAAGATGTAAAATCAAAAAAGTATAATAAAATATAGAAATCAAATGTTTCTTTAATTTTTGATTTCTTTTGCATAATTTATTTTTCCTGTTTTAGTTGAAAAAGGTAATTCGAGAAAAAATTTATACGATTTTATTCATATAAGATCATTATAATAGATTCTCTGATAGCCTGTAAGTATGCAATAATTTCTACCTATCCCCTGACTACGTTCCACATGAGGAGTACATTGTGGATTATATTGATCTTCAATACATAAACGATTTTATAGCGTACAAAATTATAGCAGATTATTTTATGGTAAACGAGATCCACCGTACACTGTAGCAGAGAACTTGTAATAATAAATATTGTAATAATTATTATTTATTATTTATTATTACAAGTTCTCTGTATACTCTTTGTACACTAGAGATGTACACTCTTTTCCAAAATCACGACGACAACGGCAAGAGCTATCAACCCTCTGGCAACTTAATCCCATTTAAATTACCATTTAATTCTCTAACATACAAAATGCTCACACTAGAGCTGACGTCTAAGCCAACTTTTTCTGCTCCGTGTGCGGAATGGCAACCAGTGCAATGAGTGGACTCATCTTAAGTGCTCAACATAGTTTTGTCGGCGGTGACATCGAAAGCAGGAATACTACGCTAGCATGTTAGGGCATTTGCAACTATCCAGTCAGAATACGTTGAGCTCGAAATATTCAATATATACAATCCTTTTGTTACTTGTTGCCCAGTGATCCTGATATATGTAGCACATTGCGATCATTGAAATTTTTGCCTGACAAATGACCGTAGGAGAATGGAGTTGGCGCAAAAAATAGACGATGCGACATTCTGTATAATGGGTGACGGCACCCCGACCAGAATTGTGTACAGTAGCCATAGCTCGCATGTTAGAAAAGTGGCTCGCACTGGTCTGATAAACAGCATAGCCTGGCGATTGACCTTAGTATAAGACCATTTGCCCATAATTTTCTCGGTGGCAGTACTCCCGGCTACACTTCTGTGGACCACTGGATTCAAGGAATTAACCGAAGTCGCCATTACTGCACTCCAACCGACGTCACCGTAGGAGAACACATATTCTGTAAAATAGTCGTTTCCGCTGCCGACTGCTCTATTCTGCCTGGCATATGCGTTGAAATGCACTCTATTCCCTACTGAAGCGGGAGTTTTCGACGCAACACTTTAAATCAACAACAAGACAGATTGAGAATCAGGTGCCGTAGTCGCGGTATCGCGTCGCGATAGAAATTTCATGCGGTGTCCGTGCCTCGTCTGGCCCGAAGAAGTGCGCGAGCTATTTTAGTCGAATTCGAGATTTCGGTAGACAAAATATAGTGCCCAGCGACCAAAATAAAATGCGTCAACTGCTAAACAGCAGACTACGATACCTGATCCTCCATATGCCTTTGTACCTCAGTAATACCTGATACGAGAAAAATGTGGTTCCGCTACTTAATGGAAGGAAACCAGCCAACAAGGGAGACGTCATAAAGACCCGGAGAGTGTAATACTGGATCTGTCTGAAGCCTAGCTCAGCGCTACTGTCGGACATAAAGTTTCTAGAGTCCTTTAAGATGGGCACGATTCAACTATTCATTCGGTTCAATTTAGGTTATAGCACTCGTTCGGTCAAAAATTTCTATTGAGTATGGCTGAAATGCTTGAATAAACCCATATTTTAGCGATGTGGTCAGTTTAAGATCTGTTCAGGTGTTAAGTAGTTTAGAAAGTTAGCAATAGCGGTGTTAGCCTCAGTGGCCTGTAAGGACTTCGGCAGTAGCTTCGTAGCTTGCTTAAACGAAAACCAACGGAGCTCCTGCTAGCAGGTATTTTATCCGATTTCATTCGCCTTAACACTCAACGGATTCAGGTACCACACTTGTCGAACCAGAAAATATCAGATCATCGGATCAAACATTCAAAAATTAAATTGGATATTTCCATCTTCAAGAGACTAGTTTTAAGCCTAAGAACAGGTACAAAATACTGGCATTGCATGTGTGCAAAATGGGCATTACTAGTTAAATAGATGGCAGATACAAGTAAGATTCTGAAACAACTTCTCAGCTTCTGACTAGTCTTGTCTAGTTAACTTCTCAGACTTCTCAGAGAAGTCTCAAATGAATATATCAAGGCGCTCTTTAACTTTGCAAAAAGCATTGACGTCGTAGATGAGGAATACATCATCTTGAATTAAATGAAGCCTCCATCTGATATTACAAAGAACTGACAGGTCTGCATACGACGTAGCAGCCGGGCAGTGTAATCTAATACCACCTTTTCTGGAATTTGCTGAAACACTACTGTTCCGGCCTCTAATTTAATTTATTACTACTAGTTTTAAATGTGGATGTTGGTTGCTGATACCCATGGCCCGATTTACCAGCTAAAAGGAAGACTCAGATCTACTATCACATATGTATACAATTCTTTTGAATGCCCGGACCTATGCAGCTATTCGGTCGGAGGAGGACACGTAATGCTGTCAATCATCACCTTCTTCAGAGATCCATCCCCCGTTGTAAGGTTTAATTGCTTGAAAGCCGTCCGTTGGAACAAGCACAAGTTGTATTTTATTCTGGTTCATAACTCTCTCTGAGCACTAATAACAACGTAACGGCATTTTATTTTGTTTCACCTTGATGATAACCTCAAATTTATTAGTTTCTAAAAGAGATAATTACTGTAACCTACTTGCGACAGCTCTGAACTGCATATTGATTTTATAATTGCAATTGATGTTGAAGAGATTAATAAAAGTAACCAAAGAATTGGTGCTTGATGTTATGCTTATGAATGAAAATCTCCTTAGTTTCCAGCCGCCTCTAAACGGCTAGTGGAGTTTTGAGAAAAGTTTTTATTTCATTACCTAAATATAATCGAGGATAAGTAATAACATTACCAGCTGAGTGGCGACCGCAATTGAGCATGTTTTTCCTCTTCGCCTACTGTGACCGTAGAAATGTCGCTGAGAGTCAAGTTCCGTATGCAAATACGATAACTTAAATGCTTTCTAATTCTGGAAATACCCAAAAGGTTACACTGTCAACCTAATAAGTGTAAGAAAGAGAAAGCGCTTATAAGTCTAGTCTGAGCAGTTGTATTTATCCTTGAACTTTATATACATACATATATACCAAGCACGTGCTGCTACCAAAGCACGTGAAGTATGAGTAATAAACAAACAAGCAATATACGTGTATGAGACATGTATATGCATTCATAGATTCAAGGGGATTGACAAAAGTTCGGTAAGTTTACCAGAAAAAACAGAAAAAAATATTCTTTTTGTATTTATTCATAGTCTTTGTCCTTTTTTATCTGCTCTACATAATCACCATTGATTTCAATGCATTTCTTAAGCCTATAGATCCACTTCTGAAAACAGTGTTAAAAATCTTGCTTTTTAAGCTTATCAAGCTCAGCATTAACCGCATGAATTGTCACCTCGTTGCTATTAAAAACCTTTCCTTTTAATCTTTTTTTTTAATTTTTGCAAATAACCAGAAATCACAAGTTGCCACATCCGGGGAATATGGTGCTGGACGTATTTTTTCGAGCCCAGAGATCGCAATAAAATTACTCGATATTTCAGCAATGTGGGATGGCGCGTTTTTCATGATGTAAATTATAGCGTGTTCCATTTTGTATTTACCCCCTCACTCTTTGCCAGTGGAATAGCAGCAACAATTTTAAATCGGGTGTAGTAAACTGACATCATCACTTTTGCTGCTCATTTTTCGTTTTCTTAGATTTTAACGGGTGGACTTGCTCCTGTTGCTCCATGAACTGCTTTTGCTTTATGAATCGCACTTATAAAACCGAGATTCGTCACCAGTAACGACTTTACTAAAGTTGCTCGACTGATCATTTTCCAATTTGTTTCGGAAAAATTGAGCAAAATGCACCCGAGCATCTTTTTGGGGCTCATTTGAAATTCGTGGTAACCATCGGGCAGATTTCTTCGTGTATCCTACATGATTGCTTAATTTCCGCGATATAGCGATGTCATTCAAGCCCAATTCATTAGCAATCATTTCTTGTGTCGATTGTGGGTCTTCTTCAATTTTGAGCTACAGTGACGTCATCAGTGGAAGATTTTGCTCGAACTTCTCGGGGCTCGTCCACTATGGAAAAATGTCCGGTCTGGAATCTTTGGAACTACTTAGAAATAGTCTTCGTTCCATATGCAATCAGGGAATATTTTTATGGGGCGTAAATCACGCCGAAACCCGAAGAGAATTACACGGCGAATTTCTTTTTGCGTTGGTGGTGGACTTCCGTCTGACCTATCCTCAGCTGTCTTGCGTTTTCTCGTCTCCTCTTTACCGATCGTTCTAAAATTTGTAAGGAAGACTAATAAAGTAACTGCAAAGGATTTGGTATTTTTAGATTTAACAAAAACAAATTGAAAGTCACCAACTTACCGAACTTTTGTTAATCCCCTTGTAAGTGCCGGTTTCCAAGTT